GTGTGTGTGTGTGTGTGTGTGTGTGTGTGTGTGTGTGTGTGTGTGTGTGTGTGTGTGTGAACAAGCAGCAGAAAGACAAGAACCATGCAAATCAACAGATAATAACCCTGAAAATAAATGATTTAACGTCTGTGTTTATTTCTTTGTCAGCAAAATACTCGTGTGGATAGATGGGTAAAACACTGAACTGCAGCCAGCCAGTGGGCACCATCCTCTTTGTGGTTTAAATTTGGCATTTTATTGTATATCATCATGGAATTTACRTCAAACACTATCCAATTTAATTTTAACGCACTTAGAAGTGGTGGAAGGTATCCACAATAATGTTAAGCTTGCATACAATAAAATAAAAACTTTAAAATTATAAGCTTAAACATTTAAGAAAGTCATGATTGACTCATTAAACAACATTCCAACAGGATGGTATTGAGTACGAAAATAATAATAAAAAAAGAAAACCTAACTACTTTCTGCAGGGAAAAAAGGGTTTTGTATACAGTAGAATGCWTCTGAGCAATTGTTTGAGGGGAAAAATACAAATTGTTATTGTTTTCTTCTTGCTTGTCACTCATCATTTTTGTTTTTATAGTTTCTCCAGTGAGCCTTTAGATGTACACACTTCTGTCTGTGCTGTTTATTCTTTCCACCCACTGTCAGCAACGTTTTAAATAATGTTAGGAATGACAAGTCTGAATCAGATGTTTAGACTTTTTTCACAGTCTGTCATTGCTCAAGTTTGGATTTTGGTTTGGATTTAAAAGCTCAAAAATGCAGTGGTCAAAAATGTTCTGCTTGATGAAAGGGGCATTCTTTACAATACATTTAAAATAAATGTAATATGTGTAGTTGAGCTGTTTTTGCTTGATCGGAGATTGTATGTATTGTGGGTAGTGTTTTGAGCAAAAACACAGGGTTTTTGATGAGCAAAAACACTGACAAAATGCTGAAACATGGCTACACCATTCAGTCCCCCAGGTTCATTGTTTTTTTTAATAACACCTAAGTAATATATGGTGTAATGCATTCTTCTATGTGAGAGACTAAACATTTGTTACTGTATATTTGCGTACAGATATTGCTTCTCTAGCTCTCTAGACTAATTGCATTAAGTACAGAAGGAGAACAAGACTTGGTTCCTAATATCCTTGGTAAGGAAGGATAGAGTCAAAACATATCACCAAACAAATGCAAAAGTACAAAAGTGAGTACAAACCAAAGATGTGTAAAATCTGTTTTTCTTTATTGCTTTCTGCTGAAGTCCCAAATGGAAACAGCCCATAGCTTATAAGGATACTGCATAAAACATATTATGTAGAGAGAAGAGATAAGTGGTTGTGAGTTTGAGAAATGGCATGTTGTTTGGGTAAATAATACAGAAAAACAGATGATCCAATATCTTCAGGCCTGATCGAATTAAGCAGTGGGTTTGAAGAGAAGATAGAAACTACAACCATCTCTGTGGTGTGAAAAGACTCTTCAGACTTTAGTCTTTGGCATTGGAGTGCACTGTTTACAAGGCACTTCAGGAGAACCATCCATCCATCCATCCATCCATCCATCCATGCATCCATCCATCCATACATCCATCCATCCATCCATCCATCCATCCATCCATCCATCCATCCATCTATCCATCTATCCATCTATCCATCCATCCATCCATTTATCCATCCATCCATCCATCCATCCATCTATCCATCCATCATCCACGTTTTAGGAGAAAGAAAAAAAGAAAAAGAAATACATGTTACACTTTTGTTTGTGTGTATCTTATCCACAGATTCAACAGTTATTTTGTATTTGCAGAACACCAAATGAATGCCATCCATTTCTGGACTTTGGTGTAGATGTTAAATCACTAACTACTACAGACACAGAAGAGGAGACAACCATTGGCGCAACTGGTAATACACATAACACAAGCCATATCCACATATCTATCTCCATGTCCACGTTCACCTTTTGAAACTGAAAAAGGCCATTGATCCTCTCAGAACTTGGTACTTTTGCTCTACACCCTGCTTCCCTGATACGCATGGCACAAACAGGCTCTCAAACCAAACATACTCAGCTCTGGACAGAGTAGTCTGACAGATGACCTGCACAGGCACACACATACACACACATCACAGTCAGATATACAAACACACAATTGCAAAATCTCTTTCTCTCAGTGGGTCAGACGTATCAGTGCTTGTCCATCCATCCGTGGTAGCCCGACAGGTAATCACTGGCTGTGATTGTGWGGGTAGAGGGCTGTTATAGGTGGCTTAAAGCTGACAGAGTAAGGAATGGGGCAGGCAAAGGGAGCGAGGGACCATCCTGTAGTTTGAGGCTCACTGTCTGTGGTTCATCAGTCAGCAGAGTTCTGATTTTCMACCCAAAGCCTGAAGAAGATGAGCAGACAAGGGTTATTTTTCCCCTTCAAAATGTCTGAACTCCTAGGGCAGTCAGCTGCTTCTTACTGTAACAAGATAGACTCACATCCTGACTTTGTGGCAGTCTTTAACATCTTGGTCTCCCACATCTTTATAGCTGTCTTTAATCATCTTCCAAATGTTTGAGAAGAACTTGATTAACGTAAAAAATAATTATTTGTATGTCGCATCACCATATGGGTCTGACAGCACAAGAAAATAAAAWTTTAAAACAAGGGGTGCATCCTACATGATGCAAGTAAACAGCGTTTATTATTCATTTCCCACCCTTTCATATTTAAATGCAGAGGAGGAGGAGAAACTCTGCAACCTGTTGTCATGGGTAARGATTTGAATAAGAGTTCATAGCAGGTGGTTGGAATAGGTTATCAAATACTGAATAGCTGTATATTTCCCAAAGACGCTGATGGTTTTGTSTTATTGGCATTTATTGTCAGATACAATAAATAAGCATCAATTATTTAATTTGAGCAAAGTAAGGAAAGTTATGAWATGAGATGTAAGATTTTTAAGCAGGAAAAATGCCTTGTGTATTTAGAAAGTAGGCTAATATAGTATTTACATCAACTCAAACCATGAATGGTTTAATCAAGTTGCAAATATTTGGAAGACCTAGGATATTTTATGCTTTAAGGATGAGTAAGAGTACCCAAAAAAAAGTCACCATATTTTCTGAAGTCATTGACTCAGTCAACAACTGAGATAGAAATACTAAAACAAAATAAAAATGATACTCTAACTTTGTAAAGATAAATCTTTTAAAAAAGGTAACGCACATGTTGCATAACAYCTTCTTTTTCTCTTTCCTAATATTGATTTGTGTATTTCTAGCTGAGGAAGATGATTTTCATCACTACTGCGCGTCACTGTTCGTTGTTCCTGTCAGCAAAAGTGGGACTGAGCCACAGAGTTCCACACCTGAATCTTTTCTTGTCATAGAGGTCCTGGATGAAGGGAAAGAGACTGAGGTATTGCACTTTATTCCATTTTATTTACATAAACAACRAAAATACAGTTCCATAAATACAGAAGATCATATTACAAACATTTTCTTTCTATGCATTCCTGCATCGTTCCATCTCTTTGTCATTTGTGTAAAGATATTAACCTTTTCTTTTTGTTTTTCAGACATGCACAGACGTAAAAAAAGTCTGTAATGCTGAACAGAAGATGGATAATAGAGAGTAAGATTAAAAAAATATATAGTAATTTAATCTGTAAGCAACACACTCTGATAATTAAAAAAATATATATATATATATATAGTAATGCTACATGCATTTTTTTCAGTTTTTGCTCATCTGTTTATCTGTAGTGAAGAAAATACAGTATGGTTTTTACAGAAATTTCTACCTCTCAGAAATACAAGCATCTTGGTATGATTTAATAACAGTATTTACTTTATTTCACTTAGGGTGAATACTGTTATCTATTAAAATACATTTTAAGATAGAAAATAAGACAATTAAATGCTTTCAAAACATTTTGTCAGTGATACTTTACACATCCAAACAGTTTTATGTCAGTCTGTTGTTACACCCCAGAAACTGATTACTTTGACGTTGTACTTTGTATTGCTGTAGATCTCTACTTGAAAACATTGTTGAGTCATAAAACTTGGTAATTATTAAAAAAAACACATGCACAACTATAAAGTAATAGGTGCTTTTAACACAATATGTCAGTGATGTGTTAATATCGCTGATATAATATATCCAAGTGTTGACAGCATAAACTGTTTTCAGGGTCGACCGGATTAGTCCTGGCTGTTTTTAAGCAATTTGTAAACAAATTGGTGACTCAAAAATGCCATCTTGATTGGATTCCTTTGTAGCTTCCAAGTTAAAGAAGAAAAGATAATTCATGTCACATTTAGTATGCTATTTTGCAGTGAAAAATGTGACAAATAATTAATAGTGGTACAAATGAGGTCACTGGTCTGGTGTTTTGGCAATCACCACTCTAATTGTAAGAATGGGTTGTCATCCATTTATAAAAAAAATGCTCTCTATATAAAAAAGTGTAAATAAGTTAAAAGTGCTTGATACAATACTTGATATACTGAAGCTTTCCATTATCAGGGGTCATAAACTCACAAATTGTTTTGTTTTTCACACAGGGTCTCTACTCTTTGGCAGATTTTCAAAAAAGAGCAAACTCTGGTTTCCCACACGGCCGTTTCTAGTGAGTTTATTAAAGCAGAACACACACCTCCAATGCAGCTACCAAAAAAGGCTGTCACATCAGTTCATTATATACCAGACAAGAAGCTTCATTTAGCTGATCATCAGACTCCAAAACCTGAGCAATTGGTTAAAGGTAGATTTATACAGTAATACTGTCTATATGTAGTTGGATAGTCATGATTGTAAAGTAGTCAATCTTGTGCTTGAAAGCTAAACAATATAACTAATAACATATTGTTTTTGCATCTTTTGCATAKATTTGCCTTCAAAAAATACAGGATCAGCTTATCCTCTTCCTGAGACTCCTGAGAGATCAAATAAATCAAAGACACMAACCTCACTGTCATCTAGGTCTAGCTCTCACAGTGTCCACAAACCAAAAGCTAGCTATGGATCACCAAAATTTTTATCCTCATTACAACATTCAAAATCTGAGATCCCAAAGTCCTCTCAAACCCCTGCTTCATTTTTGGCTGATCTTTCAACCTTGGATGATAATGTGTCAGAAATCTCGAAGAAGCGTCTTTCCCCTTCTTCATCAGCTTCCTTTTCCCTGAGGTCTACCTTTACAGTTTGGCCATCAAGTTCTACTCAGTCAAACTTATTGCCAATAGTTTACCACTCAGCTTCACAACAGAAAGGTGCAGACTCATCCGCTGTGTCAGAAAACCTCCAATCCTCCCAGTTATCTGCAGACACAATTTCATCTCTAGAGCTTTGGGAAGCTCCAACAGGCAATCTGTTCTCCCCACAGCCATCCCAACATTCCCTGAGTGACCCCATGTTAAGGCACMCTTTATCACCTGTTTCTGCTAAAATTCATCCACCAGCAAAACCCCTGAAACCAGTTCTATTAATGAGCAACCCCATTCAGTATTATGGTAATACTAATTTATTCAATACGTCAGAGCTAAAATCGGGAGTGGACATCAATGATCGTGCAAAGACGGACCAGGACAACAATCTTTTAGAAGGTAATTAAAACACGTTTAAAATTTTTTGTCTTAATTCAGATATCAGAATTTTCTTTTTATTGGATGTTTAGTGATAWTACTTTTAAATTATGTTTGGAGAGTGGGGTGGGGTGTTTATGTGTTTTTATCATTAATTGTGAAATGTTTTACTTTATGTTATTTTTAATTTTCAGGTTTTATTTCTCATTTCATTTTTATTACTGTTGGATGTTGTTTTGTTTTTACTGTCCAGGACTACAGATGTAAATTAGCCTTAGGCTAAATCTGGTGCAAAGCATCAAATGTTTTTATGTTTATGTTTTAATTGCACATTGTCCTGATCAAAAAAAAATCTTGCTCATGCGCACCTTGGATACACACTAAAGCTATTCACTATTAGGTAAGTGAGATGAGACAAGAAATTTACATTTGTGTTCATCATTATTACTCTCAAATCAGTGCCAATTTGCAGTGATTACAGTTAACATCTCTAAGATCATGAAAGCTCAAAGGAACATTTCCTCTGCTGCTCCCAGGTCATATATCTTGTCAAAGATAAATTTTATTATAAATTCACCCACAGACAAGGTAGAAATAGAAGTGTATTAACTCTCTTCAAGGGAAGTAGTTCCTTTTCAGTCATTTCACTCAGTACAACACACAGTTGTATATGGGACACGCACCCTCGCGCGCCTGGCTGAAGCCACCTCTAATCACGTCTTTAGACCGGTGACATGGTGACGTTGAACATCGGGTGACAGGCTCCGCCKTCACCCTATAAGTTTGGAGTCACYAGCATCATTACTCAGTTCTATCGCCCTTCACCTCGCGATAGTCACCTCTAAACCTGAGCTCACATAGCTGCTGTTAGTTAGCTCAGCTTCTAAGGTTCTTAGGCTTGCTTTACTGGTGCTAACCGCGTTACCTGCTGGTTCGTGTGTCTGCCACTCGATGCTACTTAAGTGACCTTTATTTTCTGCTGAAAATCTGTTTTGTGGTTCACGATGAGCACAAAACCACCTTCGAAGAAGCCGAAGTCTTCTGTTCGCCCCTGTCCTCAGGGGTGCGGCTTTAAGCTTCATGCGAAGGACCAGCATGAGGCCTGCCCTGCCTAGGAATCATTCACGCTYGACGAGCGCTTGTGGAGCCCGAGTCCTGCCGGGCCTGTGCCGGACTTTCGYGTCCGACACTGGAGAGGAGAGTGAAAATCCTGGAGAAAATGCTGGGGGAAACTGCTGTTTTCCAACAAGACCCGCTGCTCTCCGAATCCAGCCAGACGGCTCAGTCCGACGAAGACGAGGATTCGGCGGTTGAAGCCCCCGCTGCTAGCTGGGCRGACCAGATRGAGCACGAGGTGGCCTCACCCGACATCGAGGGGGGCAAGACCCAGTTTCTACTAGATCTAAACGAGAGGAGGGCGATGTTCAGCAGATGGAGCAGGAGGTTCTCAGTCTGTCCGAAGACGACGAGGAGCCGTACCCAGCTCACTCCACCCCCGCTGCTGAGAGGGTGGACCAGGATTTGTCCTTCTTGTCCCTGTGCCGCCGAGCTGCTGCCAAACTGGAGGTACAGTTGCCCGACCCCCCCACCTGCTCAAAAGCTGTCGAGGTTCGCAGGGTTTTATGTCCCGTCTGAACCGGCTGATGTGAAGCACCGTCTGCCTATGTTTCCGGACTTTGTGTCGGAGCTGACGTGGGTGAAGGCGGAGCCTGTCACCCGACGTTCAATGTCACCACRTCACCGGTCTAAAGACGTGATTAGAGGTGGCTTCAGCCAGGCGCGCGTGTCTCATATACAACTGTGTGTTGTACTTCGTTCCATTCCTTCAAGAAACCGTGGTTATATTCATAACCTTACGTTTCTAAGTACCTCTGATAATAACTCAGTTATTTTAAATCATCAGCTATAATATAATGTCCCTACTATAGATAAACCTGATAACATATAACTATTTCAGCCTAGAGTCTAATTCAATGAAAAATTTGTATATACCTTTTCCTTAACAACTTCACTTTTTATAACCATTTTAATTAGCATTTTCACACACTTTTGTTGTATGTTTTTTAATGTTTGTTTCAAACATTTTATGCTTGCCATTATTCACTGAAGCAATATGGTAATTTTTGAACGCTAAAAAATTAAATACAAAATATGAATGGAAAAATGAGGAAACCCAGGTTGWTGCATTCAGGACATTTACCGAACAAAAGCGCTTTGTCATGCCTCAGTTTAAACACAGTTCACAGTTTATATGAATAAACGGCTTGTGGATCTCAAAGTAATAGCTTCCTTTCAKTCCCCTGGGCTGTCAAAGGCAATTTAGGTCCAACCATAAAATGTGTTCTTTGGCTATTTATGAAAATCAAAGTTTGATCTTAAGTGAATAACTGATATAACATTGGAATGGACAGAATGGTGATTACACTATAACAAATAGCCTTGAATTTATTTAGAATGGATACACACACAGATAGTTTATGTATCCCTTTAGTAACACATGACACTTTATATTCCATTGCCCTTTATTCCAACATAACACCACACAATTCTAATAGCCTAATCTAAACATAAACTTACTCTAACATTATCCCTCAAACCAAATTTTTAACTCAAATTCTCAAGAGAGACAGCAACACAGGAAATATCCAACCTATGGTGTTTAAAACCCAAAAGAGAAAATTATAAAACTGCAAAAAGGTAAGAAGGACCTCTAAACTTCATTTGTGGGAATACTAAATACCTATGCATGACAGAAAATATTGAACATGTAAGCTGAACATTTGCTTTGGCCTTGGTGCAAGCAACCGTCTGAATATTTTCTAATCTGCCCTTCTGGTACAGTACCACCACACTAGATTATACCATGCATATTGGTTTGTTTTCTCATAAAGCTTTCCTAAATAATTTAATTTAGGCATTTAATACAAAGAGCTGCAAATATTTGTTGCTGCATTCTTTACTTGCTCAGAAAACTGTTTTAGAGAGTTCAGTTTTAGTTGTTTGAATTGGATAAACATGTTCCAGTTGTTACTTGCTGACTGCTCATGTATTTGTGTTTGCCCATTTGTTTTGCCATTTTATGGCCATTATGTTTGCTAATAAGTGCAATATTTGTACCAATAAAATGACTCATTTATGTACAAAAAATGAAAAAAATAACAAACTTGCTGACAAATGGCAGGAGAAACAAAAAGGTTTCCTGTTGCAAAACTTTTCAAAATGTTGCTTTTACCTTATCGGTTCCACTTTCTTACTTCAAGTCCACATTCCTCTGTTTATCCATCATCTCTGTTATTCCTTTCATCCTTCACTTCCACCATTTCCTGCAGATCTTTGACCACTTAAACACTCAATGCCAACTTTATCAGCCTATTAGAGCTTTACGGTGTCAAGGACGTTTACATCACGTCACKTTCTTTGGATATTAGAGATGAAAGTTTTGCTTCAGTGGTTCAAAGCGAGATGAGCAAGGACAGTCAGTGTTTTATTTTATGTTACTTTTCACCTTGAAAGTCTAGCATTGTTAGAAAGAGACAAATGCAAAGATATCAGGCTGTATTACCACTGAGTATTTTGAAAAATTTTCTCTTTAAAAAAATCTTAAATAACAACTCAAAGAAAACCTTTCATTTTATAAGTGTGTGTGTGTGTGTGTGTGTGTGTGTGTGTGTGTGTGTGTGTGTGTGTGTG